GAAACTCGTTTTCTCACCGGTTTCCCCGTTTGAACATAACATATTCGTATCGTAAAGTCTAAAAATAGGGATTAAATGTACCGTTAAATGGACTTAAATAGACATGGATAGAAATACGGAACTAAGGGTCGCGAGAAAACGCGTCATAAAATTCCATGTCGAATGGGATCGAATCCCGGGGTAAACGGCTACCCTTTATTCTAAATGTCGCGCTCAATACGAAATCGCGAATGTACGTAATGAAATCTGCCGGATAAAGCGGTGATACCATTAGATACCATTAGATAGTTCGATTAGATATGATTGCGCTTCTTAGCGATGGCTTTAAAGGACATCGTTTTTTAATACCTTGGATATCTTCGTACGTGTACCGCATTTTTACCTCAAATCAAATCTACTATTATTTCATGATGTAGCAATGTTCATTATCGAACACTGCTGATACAGAGTTTTCCAATCGTTTCGATTTATAATTCATTTATAACAATAACTGACACACTGAGAGAAAACGAGAGAAATAGGTTTAACAATTATAATTTTATATTTTTTAAATTTAAATTCCTGCGATTAGTTTTACAAAATAGTAAGAAGCACTGAATACTATATAACAGCAACAACGTTACTGAATATGACAATTGCATTTTTCCAAAATCTAAATATTTTTTTGAAATAAGCTTTTTTGAAATGTCGTAATATTGTTAAGATCATTTAAAAAAATACATTCTGCCAACAATGTTACAACATTAATTTATTTAATAATTTAAATAGTATTAACATTTTTTAGTCCATATTACTTATTTATTGTTCTTATAATTTTATAATATATAATTCAAGTATTATTTATCCTCAAATTTCTAATTTCTGCTGGAAAGGAAATGTTTTCAATTTTTTTCCTGACTGCAAGTAAAAAGAAATATATATATGCATTATGCTATAATATAATAATAATAATAATAATAATAATAATATACATAAAATATTTTGTGTGAATAAAGGAAGTTACGCGGAATATATAAAGAATGATTTGCATACCTTTAAAGGTTTCATATTTTATCTCGTTATATCTTTTAATATCTTGTACGTTTCATCACGAAGGTTTATTCAAGATTCCGAGGGTTTATAGACGCGAAGTCGGGATTTTCCACAGCGAAAGCTTCGCGATAGTACGGGTTGGCCGGAAAGATCGATTGTCGTACTGCGACACTAATATCGGAGTTGGCATAACTTGGCGGTTCGCGCTCTCGAGCGGCTCTGTAATCGAACTAATCGCGAAAGTCCTTCCCCAGATGTTCCTCGATGACAACGCCGCTACGATTAAACGTCATCTCGTTCGCACGTCGCATTCAATTATGAGCTGAGAGGTATCAATTTTGGGAATACGATCGGAATTATAGTTGTAAACCGCGATTATCGATAATTGATGTTATTATTAACACTTAAGAGCGTAGAAACGCAAGTTCGCATTTAATTACGGACTAAAGAGCCGCGGACAGTAGCTTTCCTCCCGTGAATGGGAATGTTGTGTAGTAATTACGGCAATTATGCTGGATTGCGATTATCGATGACTTACGTTATCAAGATCGTCTAAACGGAAGGACGAAACGTTGCGACGTTGAATCTTTCATTGTAGCAACGAATTAATTAACAAGGTCCAGCGTTGAAAATTTAATTAAGATTATAATTTCTAGAAATATCAGCGATATCTCGTATTGAATATATCGGTGGCGTTAAATATAACATGGTACGTATATAAAAATTGTCATTCTCTGAGAAACAATACGTTTCAACAATAGAGAGACGAGTTGAGAAAATGTCAGAGTCAACGTTCGCCAGCTGAGCCCTACTTCCTGAAGATACGTACAGGGTCCGATAAAAACCTCATACGCATATGAAGACATACTTCGTGCGGCCCATAATTTGCCCTTTTTTTTTTCTCATTGTATTTCTCATCCGGAGGAAGTAACGAGGTACAGGAGAAGGAACAAGGGCTTGTCACATGGTAAAACGCGTCGCGCGTGACACACGCGTGACTCTATAACATTACAGCTCCAGTTCGTATAATGTTAATCCCATTCTTAGTACCACTTATGATTATATCATGCGAGACACGCACAATTTTGCGCGCTGGAGAACGAGCCGGCGAGGAAACGCGCGTTGTTATTCAATGCGCGCGACCTCCCGGCTTCTACATTTACATGATACATTTGATACGCACGCATCTGGACGCCGGCGAAAAGTCTCAAGTAAACTCGCGCGCGATCGCGGTAAGGAGACCGGTCCCACAAGCGGAAAACAAGGAGGAAGCGGAAAACATGAAAATGTCGCGTTACGTCATGTAACGCGCGATCGGCGATCATCGAGATACGCCGATGACTTTCTCGGCGAGAGATCGATACACGGAAATGCATTTATCCGAAAGCGCATCGACAACGACGACGATAATAATCGGATGATAATTATGCGTCGCTGCGCGACTCGTTATGTTGCGTTCAGTAATACGATACGTTCGGTTCTGTTTGAAGATCGAGATACGATTCCTCCTTCTCGCTGGACAACGCGTTTCCCGAAGGGAGACTTCGCGTTAATCGCTAACCAATGGCTTTCGAAGTGAAGAATTGTTTGACTGTGCAAAAAAGCGGTCTGGCGAATATTGCGACAGACAACAGACCAGCAGAGGCGCTACAACGCGAGATTGCATGCGAAGCGCGCGCAATCAAAAACCCGACTTTATTCCGCGATAGCGAGCACTTTTCTCTCTCTCTCTCTCTGTTGCGTCACTTTTGCTCGCGTTGGCGTGCACGTGTGAAAACTCGACGAGCGCGGCCGTTCCCTTTCTTCGCGGCGTACTCATTAGCGAGTCACTCTGCGAGCTTTTATTATTAGACGTCTTTGGGTATCCCAAAACGTCATCTCGAATGTCTATCTCATCACAGCTTTTCAAAGCCATTTAGAACTGATCTTTCCAAAGGAAAATATTGCTAGTGGCTATCTTATCTATAATAGAAAAGACTGTTTATCTCCTTACTACTTTCCAAAATCATCGAAGGCTATTTCGAATTATCAAAAGAATATATCATTTTTTTCGTAATTAAGAAAATAAAAAATCAAAGCCATATCCTTCGGTTCATCAATTTCTAATCATAAATCGTTTTATCGTTAAATTAAAAATTAATCATAAAAATTAAAAGTACATTACAGATTAAATTATAATAAATCTTAATAGCGAAGCATAAGAATCATCTTGAATGACTTTTAAATAGATATTTAATAGATTCCGAATAATAATAAAATTATATTTTTCAATTTCGTTTCATCATTGAATTCATTAATCTTTTAAGAACAAAGCTGAAACGATGTCATATCTTGAGCCAAGGAATATAATAAATTTCTAATAAATCTTATGTCTTCAAAGAAAAATTGTAAGGTTTTAAAAATAAATAATTCTCGTCTCCCTTAAAGATGAAGTTCTAAATTAAGTACAGCATGTTAAAAATTGAAAAGTAAATTGCAATCTTTTCTGAAAGCTAGGAAAAGTTTGTCTCAAAAACAAAGTAAACCAGAGAATCCGTAATGAGAATGGATGTTTATGTGATATAACGTCTTTGCGACAGTGAAAACGGATTTATAAAGGAGAAAAAGGATGACTCGTTCTACGAGATTAAGCGCGGTCGACGACAACTGGAGCTGATCACGCTAATGCGGGGTTTAAGCTGAAAGCGACATCCCTCAGTGACGAATGTCAGTGAGGATTACTTCAAAAAGAAAATGCAGACATCATAGATTTATTTTTATCTTATTTTATCTTATTTTATATTTTATCTTTATACGCGACTTTATTTTTTAGTTCAGTCTTTTCAACTTATGCGAAATTATTATATATATGTATAAATTAGTCTTCGATAAAATCATAAGATAAAATTATACACACAGTTTATAGTTTGTACCTGCAAATATCTAACGCATAAGCTAACTTAATATATATTTCTATTAGATTTCGTTAAATAAATATTTGGTTGGTTATTCGAATGGAAAGTTAAATGGCTATGTTTATTTCTATATATATGAACATGCTTTCCGTTTACTATAATATATAGTATCCATATATCTTTAATAAAATAACCATACAAAGACATACCCAGGGGAAGAGTTTGGAGGATTCAAATGCCCTCCAAAATTAAAAAAAAAAAATAAAAATTAATGATTTATAAAACCCAATGTTTTCCCATTTAAAATCAGAAACGAGGAGATATTTTAAATTCTAAAATATCCAAAAAATCATTAATGCAAAAAATTATCGTTTATATGTTAATAGAATTGATAAAAATTCCTCCGAAAAAAATCCTGGATATGCCCAGTAACCATAGATAATTCAGTTTTTTAGATCGGTATTGTGATTAAGGAAGCATAATCTAAAGCATACTTTGCTTTTAAAAGAATGTTCAAATTACAATGGCCGGCATGGCGTAGAAGCTCGTGTCACAAACCGATAATATCGGCGCAAATGTTAAATTATTTCATTATTCGATACTCAAACAAAATTCGAAAGTGTCCGAACAGAGAAACACGATCTTTTGCAAGGGCAAAACATCTGTTAGACACCATATTGGAAATCTTATGTATCTTTCTCATCGATTACAATACACTTTCGATGATGAGACATCACTTGAATGCTCCGCTAAAACTGAGAGAACAAGTGCATGGATGGGAATTGTCTTTAATTCTGGAATTCTATTCGCGTTTCGAAAAAAAAAAAGAGCCAACTTCACTCTACTTTCCCTCGACAGATTCGAATATCAATATATTTACCGTTTGATTTTCGCGAGAAGATAAAGGTAACTCTTGCTCGCGAGAGAAACGAGCCCTTCATTTATGTGTCCCTTTTAATCTTCCCCTGCGAATCACTCGTCGCGACGAGTCGAGGGTAGCCACATTTCGCGAGAATCGGCAGTCGCCGGTCGATGCGGCGTCCAAACGAATTATTGTTCGTTAGTTGTACTCACCATGCAGAAGATTCGCGTGTGGCCGTGTGCGAGGACGATCCACCAAAAATCCAAGGAGATAGATCTTGTAGATCTCGCCGGGTCACGCAGTAGCCGTAGTCGACCTGCCACTCTTCCCTCGGATGGAACACCACCGTGTCGAACGACGACAATCAGGGGAGAAAGAAAGAGAGAGAGAGAGAGAGAGACAGACGATTTCGGGGATGGAATACAAAGAGAAAACGTGCCGGGGTCTCACTTGAACGCGTCGGCCTCGATCGCGGCGATAATCAAAAAGCGATACGGACAGACGGAAAACAGTACGCTACACGAAGCGAACGAGCAAGTATAAGTATGGACGGACGGACGGACAAGCGCAGTAAACACATACATATCAACCGTACGGCGCGCGGGTTCAGCGGCCGACTGAGAGGATGCAGTTCGCCGCTGGTCCGCCATGGTCCGCTCGTAGACCCTTGGTGGCCCCCTCGTGGTTCCGAGCATCCCTCCCCTCTCCCTCCACAGCACACCGCTGCCGCTCGACGGGAGAGACAAAGCAGCTGCGCGCGCAGCCTCGCATTTTTTGACCCCCGTCTCGCAGCTCCCCACCTTCGCACTGTCTCATTCTTTCTTTCTCCCGCGCACGCGGCCGTCCGCACCCCACTTCACACCGCCCTTAGGTTCGATTCACCGCGAGGGCATACCACTCGCTCGCAATGACGAGCATGTATGTGTGTGTACAGATACAATGAATAGCGAATATTGCGTGGGCGAGGAGTCTTTAGCCGCAATCGCATCTCGACTTCGATCGAGGGGTCGTTGTAAACCTCGTTTGCACCCCACGAAAGAAATTCGCGAAATCTCATACGCGACGCGTATAAACTCCAGAAACAACTGCGGATGTCGATACTTGACGAAGTAATGCAAAGTAACAAGGAAAAAGTTAAAGCGCGATTTCTTATATCGAAATTCGGGTCACGTGATAATGATGAGCTTCGCCAATTGGCTCGCACTAAAATAGTAAGAAAGAAATTTAAAAATTCAATCGCCATACGATAAAACATATTTCCTTTTTTTAATAAAATAAAACACATAAGAAGAGTTTAATATAATACGATACGATAATATAATATAATACGATACGATACTTATCAAATATCTTAACGCAAAGAGAATAAACGATTTGAATATAAGATTTACTAAAAGAGCAAAAAAATATAAATATAAATATAAATATAAAAATATAAATATAGAAATCGAGAGAAATGATAATCATACTATGATTTGAGCATACCAAGCGCTTTTTATATGTGAGTTCAGTACTGGTAGCAAATATCGAAACGCTTCCTATAGGACTCTAATGCTGCATTTCATATTTTTCAATAAATCAACTGACTTTTAGAAGTTTTGATTTTGTGATAATTATTTAAAATAAATTATGATAAATTAATAAATAAAAAAATTTTCTTAATTTTTTAAGATACAAACGAAATCAAAGAAGTTTTATTATTGTTTATAGATGCAACGCGTGGTACAAAAATTAAATATAACATCATATACAAAAATTAAATGTAACGTAAATATTTTTGTAAATCTTCTTTTGGCATTATTGTTGTTAAAAAGATATAAAGAAATGGCAAAACTTATACAATTGAAGAATGTTTCATCTGTGATTATTGAACATAATAATCACGAATAATTTTGTCATGAACATTGCTTAAACTGAATAATGAGCCAATAAATGTAAAATAAATCGAACAATTCCAGAAAAATGAACAATTCCATATCATTCTTTAAATTCAAACCTTGCTTTTGTTTCTACATTTGAATTATATCAAGACATTAGGTGTTTATTAAAAATTTTTTCTTTGTCAAGTATTGTAACATTATCCCAATCAAATTTATATTTTAAATTATCTTTATGATCAATCATCAATTATTAAGGTTTGAGTTTTATTTCTGTGATCTTTATATTTTGATTATCTTATTTTCAATAATCTGATCTATATATGATGCTTCACAATCACTACAATTAATTAAGAAAATTATTATTAAGTAGCACCAAGATTTTTCGAGTTAAATGTTTTTTATAACACATTTTCTTTTCTTTACAAATCTAAAATATTTTTAAAATAAATTTCCGAAAAACTTAAACAAGTCTTTAAATAAGTCTTAAATAAGTTCAAAATAATTTCGAACATTTTGAAAACGTTCTAGAACTTACGATAATGTTTTACTACTTTTAAAAATCGTTTTGAAATTTTGAAAGGCTTGGCGCCATTTTTCTGATCAGCTGATGCAGCCGACCACGAATCGCGAAGTTCGTGAATGTCGCATCCCGCCGGCATCATCTGAATACAATTCATATATAATTGTATATATGTAATTTTATGTATTTTATGTAATGCATATATAAGTGAGACTCGATTGTGTAATTAGACGATCGTTTTAGCATTCATGCAAAACGTTGAACGTCGTACCCATCGGTGTCGTCGCCGCCGTTCACCGATAGCATTGTTATACGCCGTATTATGAAGGCAACGCTTATTATTGCAGCGCTGGTACGATCAGGTTACGCTTCTGTCTCACGCGGAAATGCTTCTGCGAGAGATCTCCTTCAAAATCTGAATCTCGTGAGATTTCTGCATAAAGTTGCTCTCTATTGAACTTTTAGATAACCTATGCATTAGCGTTGGATGAGGAATTATTGCATTACGTTAGCGACGATGTACCTGGTGGCTCATATAAGTATTACAGTTTGACGTATGACGGTCACATTAAGATACGGTTGATATCACTGTGAGTGGGAGTTAAATTATGTCATGATCATTAACGTCTTTTACATTGTTGTCCAATATATAATAGATAAAATATCTTTTTCTTCGTTACGATGTACAATACGATTTATTTCCTTTTAGAACAGGAGATGCTGATTTGTATGCATCACAAACTATAAGCAAGCCGACATATGAGCCAGACCACTATTGTCTGCAATCTACAACTTGTGGAGAAGATATTATTTTTATACCTAAGAGGTATATCGTAACTTGCATTTTTTTTCTAAATTTATTTTATTATTTTTTAATATTTTAATTCTTTAATATTTTGATATACAGCTTCAAACGGCCTGTGAGCATTGGTGTTTATGGCCATCCATCCCATGAAATTAGTAAATATACTCTATTGGTATCCGAAATACTGATCGAAGGTGATATTGTACCTTACGATCAAGCATCAGGAGGCACTTACAAAGATCGGGATACTAGAGTAAGTCATGCTGTATCAGTTATTATGTAAAGTTGTCTTTCTTATTTCATCTGGTAAGCATCTTGTTCATTTGTGTTCATTTATTTTAGAAAGCACATATCTTGTTTCTTGCTCACCTGCGACATCTCTTGGATTTTTTGTTTGGATTATTGTTTTGAATGTTAGAACAATTAAGAAATTTAAAAAACTAGTTGAAAACTGTCAACAAACATGTTAGAATATGAAAATCAAATCTTCCTTGAAATTCTTCAGGAAGATGGATTAGTTATTACAGCCAAGTAAGTATATCTTCTTTCATTTTATTTTTATATATATCTCATGTGAAAATATATAATCTTATTATTTATTGGAAAATATAGGGGTCTTGGTATAGAAACTGTTTTTGCAAATGTGATAAAAGCTTACTCGGACCCAGGCAATCTAGTTATAGTCCTGGGAACCAATGATCATGATGAGCATTACTTTATTGATTTACTAAAGAGTTATGGAACAAGTACATTACCGCGTGTAATCAATGCCGAATGTTCTTCTAATGATAGGTAAAATGGAAAAGTATCATAGTTTTACATATGCATTTATGACATTAATAAATAAATTTTTTTGTGAAATAAATTTAAAAAATTATCACATTTTAACATTATCATTTTTTACATTTAATAAAAGTTATTAAATATAATAGGGAAACAATGTATTTGGAGGGTGGAGTGTTTTTTATATCCGGTCGTATTTTGGTGGTAGATCTGTTAAAAAACAGAGTTCCATTACATCTAGTCACTGGTATTCTTGTATATAGAGCTCATAATATTTTGAATGCTTATCAAGAGGCATTTGCGTTGCGTCTATACAGACAAAATAACAAAACTGGATTTATCAAAGCATTCACAAATTCATCACTGGCCTTCACAGTTGGATATTCACAAGTAGAACGAGTCATGAAAACTCTGTTTGTGAAAAAATTATATTTATGGCCGCGCTTTCACACAACGGTTAATAATTGTTTATCTAAACATGAACCCGAAGTTATAGAACTACATGTGCAGCTCACACCAAAAATGCAGAGCATTCAAACTACTTTGCTTGATATTATGAATTATACTGTGAAAGAATTAAAGAGACTCAATAAATATTTAGATTTAGATGAATTGACTGTGGAGAATGCAATAGCAAAGAAGTTTCACAAGCAATTACATTTACAAATAGATCCAATCTGGCATCAGCTTAGTACAACAACCAAACAATTGTTTTCTGATTTAAAAACATTACGTTCTCTTGTCATATCTTTAACATATGAAGATTCCGTTTCATTTTATGCCATGTTAAATCGTTTACGGACTATGGAATATGCTATGAAAGCCGGTGGTTGGATAATGTTAGATGAATTCGAGAATTTGTTTAAATATGCCAAAAGCAGAGTTTATACAGATAAGAATGACTTGAAACTGGAATCAAACCCAAAATGGGAAGCTTTATCTGAAGTTTTAACTGAGATTCAAGAACAGAAACATCAAAAAAAAGATTATGAAAATATTGATAAAGTTCTCATTTTAGTACATGACAACAATATATGTCGTCAATTAAAGAATTATTTAACTATGGGAGCAAAACAATATTTACTTTATGAAGCTTTAAAAAAATTATCACATAATAAGGAACAGAAGACAAGTGGAGATAGTGGAAAGAATGCAAAAGATAAACAACCAACATCTGAAAGTAATACAGATGAAGAAACGCAAGAGATTCCAGATACTTACATACTCACTTTATCGCAAAAATGTACGAAAGAGCAAGAAGAAAATCAACCCAGCACTTCATCCAAACAAGATGTAAAACATCAGACATTATTTGAAGAATGTTCGCAAGTAATTTAAAATTATATTGAAATAATATTGAAATAATATTGAAATATTTGTGTACTTAGAAAAAAGAATATTTTTTTTATTAATTTTATTCTCTAATTTCAAGATTGCAGAATTTGATTTAAGTAAAGAGATTTATGCAGCATCCGCACCTATCGTTTTCATACAAGCCATAAAGAAAGGGGGAGATCCGATGGCTTTACAACGAACATTAACTGAACATATGCCAAACAATGTTATTTTGTACATTGCCGATATTGGTACCGTGAGACAACTAGAGATATATCAGAATAATAATCCGTCATTAAATCTGAAAATATATTTTTTGATTTATGGTGGGTCGGTGGAAGAACAAGAATATCTGACTTCTTTACGACGAGAAAAAGAAGCATTTCATTCTTTGATAAATACAAAAACTGTGAGTATATATAATTTTAGAATAAAAACAATACTATTGAATAGTTATATTACTCTAATTTTTATTGTATCATAGACTATGGTGATACCAGAAGATCAAGATGGAAAATCAGAAGCTTGTCTGGCTTTTGCAATTCAATCAAATAATACAGATCAGGATAATACGCGTAAAGGTGGAATGCAATCTGAAGCCAAAGTAATTCCAAAAGTTATTGTTGATATGAGGGAATTCAGAAGTGAATTACCAGCTATTTTATATACACGTGGCATAACAATCGAACCAGTGACATTAGTAGTAAGTAAAATATATATGAAATTTATTAATATAATATATAAAAGACTGTTACTTCTAATTATACTTATGATGTTATTACAGGTGGGTGACTATATTCTAACATCAGAAATATGCGTTGAGAGGAAAAGCATATCTGACTTGATTGGTTCTTTATTTTCTGGAAGATTGTATAATCAAGCAGTTTCTATGACAAGACATTATGCTAAACCTATGCTCCTTATAGAATTTGATCAGAATAAACCATTCAGTTTTCAAGTAGCTAATTTAAAAAAAATATAAATATATCAATTTTATTTTATATAACAGATACTTACTATATCTGTTGGTTTTAGGGCAATTATTATGTTAGTAGAGATTTTAAACATACTGATATCACAGCAAAATTACAATTGCTAACACTTCATTTTCCTAAATTAAAAATTATATGGTCCCCTAATCCACATGCTACAGCACAGTTATTTGAGGAACTAAAGGTAATGAACAAATTTATACATATATATATATATATATACACACACACACACACACACACACACACACACACATACATTGGTGTATATACATATATATTTTTTTTATAATATACTTCTTACATAATATAATAATTTTACACATTCACACTCACACTTAAATATTTAAATTTTGTATACTTATAGCAAGGACGAGATCAGCCTGATTCAAATATAGCTGCTAAAATTGGAGCAGATGAAGATACAGAAAATAAACAAATAATGATGGAAAAATACAATCCTCACATCCAAGATTTTGTAGCTAAGTTGCCAGGTGTAAATTCGAAAAATTTGCGTTTTCTATTAAACAAAGGAAAATCATTAGATCATCTTATCACAATGTCACAAGTAAGTAAATGACAATTAAGAGACAATATATTTTTATAATTTTCTTTTACAATACTTATAAATAAAAATACTAAAGATGAATAATCTTGATAATGTTTAGGAAGAACTAAAAGAAATACTTGGAAATCAAAATGATGCAGAATTGTTATATAAAGCTCTACACGAAAAATATTTACCAACAGGTGAAGGCTCGTCATCAGGCAAAGGTGTTTCTAAGGTACGTGGTAAAAAAACTTTTTACCAGAGCAAATAAAAAATAATATGTGGATAACATATATACTAATAAATGTTAATGCAACATTTGAATTATTAGTAACTAATGTTATTATAAAACATATTTTGTAAAATATTAAATATATTATATATCATTATATCATCGATGATAGAATTAAGAAAAAATGTAAAAAACAATATAGATTAATAGATTAATTTATTATGTAATAATAGCATAAATATGTAATACAATCTTCATATATACAAGTAATATTACAAATAATATTTCGTAAGACAATAGAACAAAAAATTATTTCTTAGTAAAATATCAGATGAAGTCTAGCTTTTATTAATAGAAATTCATTCATAGATTATACCTGCAATTTTTTGAATGTATTATTCATTATAAATTATAATTAATATATCTTTTCTCAATATCACTTACATTGCTTCAGTAATATTTTCAATGTCACTTTCTTCATCACTATTAGTAGTTGCATCAAGATTGTATAAAAATGAGTCATTTTCAGACATAGGAAAATAATATCTGGAAGAAACAAACATTTAACATTATTCTGTTTTATATAAATAAATTTAATAATTATACTTACTCTGGCTGATCCCAAACTTTTTGTGTAGCAATTTTATAATGTTGTTGATTCTTCATGTGCTCTAAAACATTGTCTGATTCTGTTTCACAGAAAATACATCGTTGTAATTGAATTTGTCTTTTTATATAATTGACTACTTTAACCTATAATAAGGCATAACACAAACAATTAATTATTAAAAATATATTATGAAACATGAGTGATTACATGACAATTCTTTACCTTTTGATAAAAAGTCAGGTTTTTAGCAGTGTCTTCGAAATCAAAACTATGTTTCTCTTTCATATGTCTGAGAATACAGGTAAATTCGTTATTGCTATAGTTACAAAATAGACATAATATTCCGATAGATTCGTCATTCCAGTCAGACCACGAACTTTCTTCATCTTCATTTTCGCTATTGCCATCTCCCACATCAGGATATGTTTCCAAATTATCCTGAAAAATCAAGAAATATCAGTACTGAAGTATTAATTTTTATCTCAAATTGCATATTACCTGTCTTTGTTTCCAAGTTCTTTCTGGCTCAAGATAATTATTTATATAAAATTTATCATATGTTTTATTATAAGGATTTATGCATTTGTGGAATTTTTTTCGCATATGTTCCTTTAATACCATACGATCTTTGAATATTTTCTCACAATAAATACATATTAAACTGAAAAAAAGTAACATAGATTATAAAATTATATAATTATATATAGATATTATAAATAATCTTAATATTATTAGAATACAAGTAAATTCAATTGAGAAATAAGTCATTTTCCAAATGTAATACTTTTCAATATTATTCTGAATTTTGTCCAAAAGCTCATCAATAAACACCAAATTTTCTGGCTTGCCGAGGTAAAGATTGTGCTTCTGATAAAGGTGTTTTATGTATGCAATACGTGATTCACAAAATTCAGTACGGCAAAACATACAGCCACGCTTAAAATTAGTATCTGCTCGCTCAGCTTCTTGTTGTGCCAATGTCCATTCCTTGAAATAAATATAAATCATTACAAGAAGTTATTATAAATTACACATTTGTTAGTTATTTCATTAAAATATATACCAGTTTAGCACGATGTATCTCATCTCTTAAAGTTTTATCTTCCAGCAAGCAATCGGAGAGCAAGAAATAATTTTCATCTTTACTTGGCTGTCCATCTGGTGTACAATTCATTAGCAATGTGCTACAATAAGTCGTCACTGGTGCTTCCTTGAATTTTACGCTCCAGTAATGTACATAACTAAAATTATAAAAATTATCATATCTTTAAATTGCAAGGATAATAAATATAGTAAGCAATGGAGTTAAAAATTGATCAAACCTCTTCAAACTAGCTATTTTCCAAACATCAGCTATAACAAGGCGATGAACCTTAAATAAGTGCGAGAGAAAATCTGTTTCATTTGTCGGAAGGACAAATGTGCAATCGCATAATAAACATTTTGTATCGCATGGATTGTCATCTAAACCAACAAACTGAGACTTGTACATTGCGCATACTCTGTGAGACCTGAGTTTAATTTAGAAAAAATTTCGTATTATAATTATTTCTGTTAAGCAACAAAATAATTGATATTATATTTTGCCAAATGCAGTTTACTATAATCTTTGCAGTAGTAAATTTACATTTCAAAATCTTCGAAATATTTCAACACGTAATCACGTTAATGTCGAGAAATATTCCCACATAGCACGAGACATTCTCAGATATTTTCGAGAAAAATCTCGATAAATTTATATGCTTCTTTTTCTCTTTTTTTACTCTTTGGGCGAAGAGAAATCTAGGAGCAATTATCCTAACCTTTTCTTAACACTGTCGAAATCGCCACTGTACACTATCGCCATCAATGTCTATAAATAAACTTGGAACTTTTAGGTTACATCTATCTTGCGATATTATCGATAAAACAGATGTGATGTCAATGTTAAATCCATTCATAAAATTATATAATTCAAAACAAATAAATATTCAAACAAATTTGTGTTTATTCTAAAGGAGTCTAATGGAACATTTGTAACGTTTGCTTAAAACATTTTTTATATTAAAAAATATATAATAAAATGCTGCCAATAAATATATTCAAATAAGATTTGATTGAAAAAATAGATATCATATTTATGATAGCAGACAATTCATAATTATTAAAATTGTTATTATATACAAAAATTTAGAAAATTTAAAAAAATTTAAATAATAAACACTTTGCCACTTTTTAATAGACTTATTTTAATTATTATAAATAATTAATGTAATAAGTATGTTTGTGTTCGCTTTTTCTCTTTCCGCATTTATATACTTGGGTAGCTGAGTTCAGAAACAAATACAATCGAATAATTCATCAATGTTATGATGTTGATTTAAATTCAAGGAGTTAACAATAAAGATCAATAATCACTAAATGCTCACTAATTGCTTTATTCCGCTGAACCATTTGTTGACACACCTACTTTAACAAGAAGGGCACAGTTCAGAATATAATAGAATTTTTAATTCAACTAGCGATTAGTTAAATGATTAAGGTCGTCAAGAAAGAACAATTTAATGTAATTTTGTAATTTTTCTACCAAATTGCTATTAACTAAATCATAAATCACATTAAGTAAAAATAAATAAATAAATAACGTGATATATATAATTGAAAATGATAAATAAATCGTCTCCGGCAAAATTCAGAATCTTGATTTTAAAATCCAACCATTTAAATCAGAAACATCTAATTACGTAATCGACGACGATTCAGAAAACATTTTGTAAAGACTTACGTAAGACATGAGGAATCAGAGATAGTATATTAAAGATATAGCGCCAGAGTCGACCAACAGTCGACTGATAGCTTTTAACATGCAATATTATATCTTCCTATCATTATTAAATGTGATTAAAAAAACATTCAATCTAAACTCCCAAAAAATACAAAAGTTGATTAGCTTTTTCACAAAATTATATGGTATTTTGATTAAGCGAAATAATAGTGACAGATATATTATAAAATGATATATATAATTACTCTGTCAGCGATAGTGGGTGTCCTAGGTGTTTATTATTATTTTTTCAAAAATTTGAATTACTTTAAAAAATATGGCATATTTTATAAGCCACCTCTTCCTATACTGGGAAATATGGGACCACTAATTTTTCGTCTCAAATCATCAGCCGAACTTGCTAAGGAGTTCTACAATCTGCACTCTGAAGCGAAATATGTCGGTGTATTTGATATTCCGACTCGTCCAGTTATAATGGTGCGTGATCTCGAACTTATTAAATCCATTACGTTAAAACACTTTGATACGTTCCCGGATCATCGAAACGTCGTGGATGGGAGGCAAGATCCATTATTTGGGACAAATCTCTTTTCTATTCGTGGAGACACGTGGCGACAAACACGATCTATATTAACTCCAGCCTTTACATCCAGCAAAATGAAAGGTATGTTCAAGTTAATGTCAGAATGCGGTGGTGATTTTAGCACTTTCTTGGCGCAATTACCACCAGAACAGAGAATGATGCAAATGAGAGATGTCTTTACTAGATATACTAACGACGTGATTGCCACTTGTGCTTTTGGAATTAGCGTTGATTCCATGAAAAATCCAAACAACGAATTCTACGTATACGGCAAAGAGGCGACCGCACTCACTATTGTAGCTTTAATAAAAGTATACATATTCAGAAGCTTGCCTTGGCTGGCGCGATTAATAAATTTAAGACTCATCCGTCAAGAAGTGGCAGATTTCTTTCGAG